CTCTAGTTTTTAATATTTATTTTTGACAAATAAAAATTGTGTATATTTAAGGTATACAATGTTATTTTGATATATGCAGAAACTATGAAGTGATTACCACAATCAAACTAATTAACATTATCAATCACCTCTCATAGTTATTTTGTGTGTGTGTGGTGAGAACAACTGAGACCTACTCTCTTAGCAAATTTCAAGTATATAAACACACTATTAACTACAGTCAGCATGCTATACATTAGGCTTCCAGACCTTATTCATCTTATAACTGAAAGTTATTTCCCCTTTTGCCCTACCCCCCACTCCTGTGGTACCCAACCATTGCACTCTCTCTGTTTAGATGAGTTTACTTCTTTTTAGATGCTACATACATGATGTCATATTGCTACATGAGATTATACAATACTTGTATTTCTATGTCTGGCTTTTTTTTCACTTAGCGTAATGTCCTCCAAGTTTACACATGATGCTGCAAACACCAAGATTTCCTTTTTTTTTTTTTTTACAAATGAATAATATTCCATTGTGTGTGTATGTATGTATGTTTGTATATATGTATGTATGTCGCATTTTCTCTATCCAGTTCTATGTCCATAAACATTTAGGTTGTTTCCAAATCTTAGCTATTGTGAATAATGCTACAATGAACATAGGAGTGCAGACATCTCTTCAAGATAGTGATTTTATTTCTTTGGATTTATACCCAGAAGTGGGATTGCTGGATCACATGGTCGTTCTATTTTTAATTTTTTTGAAGGACCTCCATACTGTTTTCCACAGTGGCTGTATTAATTTAGATTCCCACCAACAGTGCACAGGGTTCCCTTTTCTCCACATCCTCGTCAGCACTTGTTATCTTTTGACTCTGATATCAGACCTTGGCAAAAACCTCTTAACAGCTGCTCTTCCCCTGGTATTTTGGAAGGGAGCCAAGCAGCCCTATATGAATGGGGTTGAATGGCAAACCCATTGTGGGCTCCATGTCTTCTAAGGAAGCACACCCCATTCCTGCCCTCTGCACTTGACACACCGTAAGAATGAACTTCATGACTGTGATGCACTTCCAGCATGGTCGGCATCCAGCCCAAAACGGTTTTAGTGACTATAGCTAAGCAGGTGCTTGTTGAGCCAACTTTAATACAAATGAGCAGTGGGATAATGGCCTTGCAATGCTTGGCACAGCAGCCACTTTCTCTTCATCTCTTAGCACAAAATATACCTACTAATTATAAATTAAATTATCTGTTTCATTATTTAATGAAAGTACTAAGTATAATGTCTTCTCTTCCACTGTTGGCTGACACACATTCCTGAGTGTTTTTCAACGGGGAGCCAACACTCAACTCATATAACTTCTAGAGACTATCTGCCACTCCATTTTGGGGGGAAGAAAGAAAGATAGTTCAATTACTTCTTGGCTTCTGGAAGGAGGTCTCTATTTTTGTCTCTCCCCCTTCCAGTTAAGAGGTTACACCAGCACTGTGGCTCTAATTTGCTGGTAATCGCATTGCCCACCAATACTCAGGATTTGGGGGTAGAAATGTACAATTGGACAGCAGCTGGAAGCAGAGCTGAGTTTGGCCTAAACTGACCGTGCAGGGGTGGTGGCAGTCTGTATCTGGAAGTTTCTTAGTCCGAGGAGGAGCTCTCAGACTCGGTCCTGCTGGCCCCTGGGAAATACAACAGCTGTCTGTCGAGGAGTGTAGAGGTGAGCCAAGTGTGAACAAGACTGGGACAGGGCCAGAAGCTTACTTGAATTCAGTGAGAGAATGATGATGAGGCTCAAAGATTTCCAAGGGGCTAATCAAATGCTTTTCCTTACATCACATGAACCAAATGCCAGTTAGTTCCAGGCAGCTACTTTCCAAGGTAGTGTTTGGGATTTCTTGTTGTTCACCACTTAGTTTAAATTCTATGAAGTCATTCACTGAACTAGGAGGGACAATGACCACAGAGCCTGAAGGACATTTCAGTGTGTACACAGCAAGGAGAAGAAAACAATGCCCAGTGCTGGGGGCCACGGGGGTGTTCTGAGCAGGGGGACGGGGCTCCCGGAAGGAGGCTTCAGAAACAATGACAGACCCACAAAGGAAAATGCCACTGGGGCTGGCTCCCACACCCCATCAGCAAGACACTTAGAGCTGGGTTACGGACAACAGGAATTCATGTTTCACAGGAAGAAAGAAGTATCTAGTTATGTATGAAGGTTTCAGGTATGTGAGCAACCAGAATGCTTTCATGGTTTGGAAATGCAGACAATATAGGGACAGCAATCATTTTACATGGCTAGGAAGAAAGAAAATCAACACATTGCATATTCCCACTTAACTGGAACACAATCAATCATAAAGGTCAAATAGCAGGTTTTTGTGTGATGACTACACAGTGTGCCTCTTACTTTAAAGAGTGCCCCATGCCAAGGAAATAAGATACTGTCAGGGCTTTGATCTAAAAAGAAACTTTCAGGTTACAGCTGTGTGCATTTATATCTCGGTTTCCTTTAAACTTTACTGACTTGGCATCATATTATGATAAATAATTCAAAGACATCAGAATTTTAGGGGCTTTTACAGATAAGGACTGGGGCTCACAGAGGTTTAGTGCCTAGATCAGACTCCCAGAGGTAACCAGGCAGGCAGGGCTCCGGCACATGGTCCAGGGAGGCTCAAAATGGGGCCAGCAGACACTGAAGAGAGGCTGATTACATAAAACATGATTTACACCTGTAAATATATATATACATGTATGTATGTATATATATATATCTCAATTGATTTCAGAGAGGAAGGGAGAGGGAGAGACAGAAACATCAATGATGGGAGAGAATCACTGATTGGCTGCCTCCTGCATGCCCTACACTGGGAATCAAGCCAGCAACCAGGCATGTGCCCTGACCAGGAATTGAACTGTGACCTCCCGGTTCATAGGTTGATGCTCAACCACTAAGCCACGCCGGCTGGGCCATTTACAAATATATTTTAATACAATCTAATTTTTTTTAAATCAGTGAAAAAAAAAAAACCATACAAATGAGGTGGCTCTCAAAGAGATACAGGTAATAAATGAACTATAAGCCTCACATCCCTCCCCCTAAGACCATTTTGGATAAATAAACGTTTTCCAAATATTGCCAGGGAATTCCAGAGTAAGAATAAATTCAAAAGGCATTCTTGCTTCTCACCTAGAGAACAAAGGGTTTTACATTTGACAGATATTTACTGTGGGATAGGAACCATGCTGAGAACTTTCATATTCACCATCCCACGGAATAATGGGTACTCGCCCACTCTTGCAGATGAGGAAAATCCAGCTCCCATCACCCAGTCACACCAGAGCTGCCGTTCCTTGGCCTTCCCACATTACTCGGTACGTAAGCTACCCCAGCCCCAATTACACCACCTTCAACTGATTTGTCCTTTGGCTTCTAGTTTTGGGATCATTCTAGTTACCTGTTTGTAAGTGCTGTGAGGAAGAGTAAGGAGACTTTCTGTGAGTTCTCACTTTATCAGGTGGCCACTCTCCCGTTCTGCAGGACTCATGGCAGATGTTGCTTAACAAGGGACTGGATTTGCTGATCCTCTCTGACCCCCATGTCTTACTTGTCTGGCTATTTGTTTTTATTTTATGTTGAATTTAGATGCCTTTCTTGCCCCACCACTTCCTGTTGCCTTATACATAGCCTCTTTACTCATTTGTATGATCAGGGCTCTGGAGGTGTTGGGGTCTATGACCCTGCGATTTAATGCCAGTGGTCCTCATCAGAACCCCACATCAGGGTGGTGGGATCTTTGGTTTCTCCTAGGGTTGCTGTGAAGAGCTGCTCAGTGGATTACTGCTCAACTCTGGGATAGACTATGGACGTGAGCTTCACTCCTGGGAGCTGTGCAGTGGTGGTGGTGGCCGTGGGGTTGTGCACCGTGCTGGTGCACAGGGAGTGATTCTGGCCCTGAACACAAAGACTAAGGCTGCTTAGTGTTATCCTTGGTCCCATGAAAATGAAGGGGAATGAGGAGGATGGAAGAAGAGACACTGTATGCACAGTTCAAAGGGTGGCCAGTTTAGTGGTTTGTCCTTATTGTGAAGCCCATCATTTGAATTCCTGCAGCTCAAACCATCCAATTGAATGTCATCTCTGGACAGATCAGGTCCAGCCACCAGTGTCCTCAATAGACTGAAATGACTCAATTTACTGAAGTAATTAAGAAACCTGAGTAGGGTATTTTCAACAATGGTGAGAAAAGCAAGTCTGCACTTCTTAGAATCATCCTATATTAACTGTCAAAATTTCAGCTTGCTTTTTACTTTTTCCCCAAGCAAGAACGGTGCTGTGAATACTCTCGTTCTTCAGCTCTCAGGGGAACTCAAGTGCTCCTTCAATCATTTGAAACAGAAAAATCATAGCAACAGTCCCAGTGATTCAGATCCCACATCGAGGACTGTACCAAACTTCGGCTGTGAACTACTCAAAACCTGAAGAGTCAGTGAACCAGAAACTGAGCGGCTGTGAGCCACAGGTGGGGTTCAGTTCCCTTCAAGAAAGATGCTCTGTTCAGATTCGTGCCTCTGAGACTTCATCAAATAGAAACTGGCTATGACATAAACCTAACATGTGGGTGACTTGGACATCAGCCCCTGAGTGGGGATGTGGCACAGGGTCCACCTTCTAGCTCCCATCCAGCCAACTGTCTACAAGCCAATATGTCTCCATTAGCAACACACACAATCAAACCAAACTACTGTACCTCCTCCGGCAAGCTGACCACCAAGTCATTTTTCGTCTGTCCGACCAGCGCCTGCCAGAAGTATTCACTGCACGCAGCCAACACAGCCCGGTGGGCCCGGAACTCCTTCCTCTCCACAATCAGAGTCACGTCACAGAGAATATCCTTTTTCCGCTGGTCATTGAGGCCCAGGAGGATGTTGGTGCAGTGGACTGTGGACTCATACACATACATGGGGGAGTCAGGCTTCTCATCCACAGACATGCCGTTCAGACCCTGAAAGAAAGAGAGGCCGGGTCACCTCTATCTGAGTCACAGAGAGAAGGTGAGGAAGAACTTCATGGTTCCTGAGTCTCGTTGCCATGAGCCAGGCAGAAAGGGGCAGAATTCCTCGTTAGCATTTTCATGCTCAGCACAATGAGCTCAGAAAACATATTGGAGAGTCGGCTTTTCTGGCTGACTTTACCGTTTCCATTTACTGCGTCCTTTTACCCCATGGAAATGAAGCCAGATCTTTAATGGAACACCCAAAACATTTTAAAACACATACATACTTTAAAACTTGGTAGTTTTGATTTTTGGCTGACTGAAAAGAAACTTTCATGTATACACAGTCCCAATTCAAGTATTCATTTGAGCTTTGTGTTAAGAGGAAATGAATCATTTTTGAAGTATGTGTAATGCTCTCTTGATTTAAATACATGTAAGTTGCTAAGTTGAAATTTGGTTAAGATACCAAATATTTAATCACAATACACAATTTAACAAGGGATCTGAGCAGTGTGTGTATTAACAGTAGATGTAGCCAGCTATTGCAATTGCCCTTGGCCACTGTAAGACAAAGCGCAACCAACACAATGCCACTGTTGCTCATGAAAAGCTCTTGAAAAGAAGTGGAATGGAGCTGTCATTATCCGCAGATTTGGTGCACATCCTCTTTAAGGACATACAACATATCACAACAGGAGTCATAACAAGATGTATTCAACAGTGAAGATCACTTTTACAAAAAAAAAAAGATTCTTTGCTTTAAAAAGTGTCCACTGACATATTTAAAACAATAGTATCTGTACTTAATTTACATAACGTAGTTTTTCAGTAATGTTTACTACTAGTATGAATTCCAACAACGAGTCTTATTTTCTTTGTGGTTGTATGCTTATTTATTTTTTTAACAGCTCTAATATACAATGAACTGCATATATTTATAGTGTGTAGTTTGATATATTTTGGTAATCAAGACAATGAACACATCCTTCATCAACAACGATCTCTTTATGTCCTTAATAATCCCTCCCTTGCACCTCTCTGTATCCCAGCCCCTGAAACCACAGGTCTGCTTTGACACTACATATTAGTTATCATTTTCTATATTTTATATAAATGGAATCACACAGATTGTATCCTTTTAATTCTGGCTTTTTAAATGATGTATAGATATTTTTTGATTCATCCATGTTGTGTGCACCAATTGTGTGTTCCTTTATCGACGAGAAGTGTTCTATTGTATGGACATAGTGCAATTTTTTATCCATTTATCTACTTACTGGTGGATATTTGGGTGCTCCCAGTTTTTGGCTATCCTATAGAATAAAGACCTAATATGCAAATGGTCATCACGCCCTCAGGCCATAATGGCTCAGACACTCAACACTGGGGAGAGAGGAATGGGGACCAGCTAGGCTGTGGCCCGGGAGAGGGACAAGCTGCCCGCCCCACGGTCCCGAGCATCAGTGGCTGGGGCTGTGGCCCGGGAGAGGGACAAGCCGCCTGCCCCGTGGTCCTGGGTGAAGCCACCTGCCCATGGTCCCCTGTGGCTGTGGCTGGCCCAGGCGAAGCCAGTCTGGGTCCTGGGTGCCTGTGGCCGGCCAGAGGGAGGGAAGCCCGGGGTCCCAGGTGCCTGCGACCGGCTGGAGGAGGGAATCATGGGTCCCAGATGTGGGGTGAGGCAGAGGTGGTTGGGGGCAATCAGGCAGGCAGGCAGAGGGGAGGGGTTAGGGGTGATCAGGCAGGTGAGTGGTTAGGAGTCAGTGGTCATGGATTGCAAGAGGCAGTCAGACATCCCCTGAGTGGTCCCAGATTGGAGAGGGTGCAGGCCGGGCGGAGGGACCCCCCCATGCACAAATTTCATGCACTGGACCTCTAGTTACAAATAAAGCTGCTATAGATTAGTGTTTAAATCTTTATATGACCATATCCTTTCATTCCTCTTGTGTAAATACCTAGGGGTAGAATGAAAGATTATTTGGTATGTGTAAGTCTAACTTTAAAGAAAAAGATTTTTTATTGATTTTTAGAGAGAGATGAAGTGAGAGGGTGAGAGGGTGAGAGGGAGAGGGAGAGGGAGACATTGACTGGGTGCCTCCTGCAAGCCCCCCACTGGGGATCGAGGCCGCAACCCTGACTGGGAATTGAACCATAATCTCCTGGTCCATAGGTCAATGCTTAACCACTGGGCCACACTGGCTGATGCTTACTAGTTTTCATAACCTTTTTGTGGTAGATTCTATAGCTGTTCTATGTAGATTATGTTGTCTGTAAATGAAGACATTTTATTTCCTTTCCAATCTGGATGATTTCAAGGTATTTTCTTGCCTTACTGCATTGGCTAGATGTACTGGTACTGCACTGTTCCTCTAGTACAGTTTAAACTGTAAGTGGTATGAGCAAATATCCTTGCCTTGTTCCTGATGTCAGGGGAAATGGATTCCGCCTTTCATTGTTATTTATGATGGTAGCTTTAGGTATTTCATAGATGTCCCTACTGAGTTGAGGAAATTTCTTTCTATTCCTAATTTTCTGGGAGTTTATTTAAAAAATCAGGAATGGATGCTGGATTCTGACAAATACTTTTTCTGCATCTATTGAGATAATCACAGTTTTCCTTTTTTAAAAAAGTGTTTTAATAAGGAAAATAACATTGATTTATTTTGAATGTTAAACCAATCTTGCATTTCTAGGATAACCTCCACTTGATCATAATATATGTGCCTTTTTACACATTGTCAGACTTCATTTCCTAACATTTTGTTATCAGGCAGCACTCAAAACTAGGTGGAACAATTAATGTTCAAGGATGTAAATGGTGTGCATAATTCATAAGAAGCAGGAGATTTATGAGACACCTCTTTTCTCTAATCCATTTATTAATGCACCTATACCCAAAAGAGGGAAGCTTACTATAACAGACACAAAGCTGTAAGTTCTTCAGTGAAACATGAAATTAAACAAAATCAAAAGAGAAATGAAAATGAGGTGCCGTGGAAAGAGGAGTGGACAGGGGTGCAGGGCTTCTGGCCCAGCTCTGGCACTGTGTGGACTCTGGATGACTCACTTTTCTCTGGGTCTGCTTCCATGTTTGTAAAATGAAAAGTCTTGACTAGATGACCAGCAAATTTCCTACCCATCTACAACCCATGAGTCCAAGAGTCTATAAAAGAAATACCTAACTGATCATGAGAGTGAGATATTGTCACTTTAGTTGAGACAAGTTAGCTTTCTGTAACTTTATACAGACCAATTATGGAGCCTCTTTCATTGTGGATATTGCAGAGCTGGGTGCAGAGAATGGGGTGAACAATATCCAGGGAGAAACCAAAGTCTTCTGGGAGAAAAGAAACTAGGACCAGAGTCCCTGGCTCCCATAAGATGCCAAATTGGGAAGCTCTGTTGAGATAGAACATGGTATCCCTGAGGAAAAGGGGGGAGGGACAAGTCCCTTAAGGTGACATTACTTTAGGAAATGGGGAGTCCAAACTTAGGATATTTTGGCATAATATGTGGACTGATGCTACTGGCTCCTCCAGTCCTGGTTATCTTAGCCCAGAGGTTTGTTCTGGGAACTATGTTGACCACGGGAATAAACACTAAAAGAGTATGTCACCCTAGAAACCCAGGATGGAGTTCCACTGAGGTCCAAGGAGGGTCCTGAGGACTGTCCTATAGCACTAGACACGGGCCTGCCTGCCAGGTAGGAGTAGCCATCCACTGTGCCTCAGATTCCAGCTCCCAGGCAAAATGGTCTCTTTCTGGCTCTAGGGCAGCTGGTGGCAGGGGCCTCAAGAAAAGACTCCATATCCTGTCATAGGATCGGTTTGGGAAAATCAAGGAGATGTGGCAATATGTGCCCCTGAGTTGATAAAGCAGGTTATGGTAGCCCCATGAATGTCTGCTTTTTGGGCTAAACCTTCCAGAGAGTTTTAGAAGACATTTAAAACCTATCAGATCGGTTCATCAAATGGTAAATCTAGAATCTATCATTTCCAGGAGGCTGTTGCTAGACTTTAACCTGACTGAGGATATTCTTGCTTTTATTACATTATTCCTGGAAAATCTTTCCTTACGCCACGCCAGCACCACTCCATTCCTCTCTGCCTTTATGTTCCTATTGGATCTCATCACTTCCCTCCCTGTTGGCCCCTTTTCAAGCATAATGGGACATACTGTTTCTTCCTCTTTTAGAAATCATTCAGCCCGCCCCATCCCCTGATTATCATGGGTGCTCTTCTAGGAATTCCTCCAATTTGCCTGTTTTTGACTGACTCATGCCAACCTGAAATCTGTTTCCCCTATCACTGCATTAGGTTTCATTCCGTTTTCCTTTTTCACTTGCCTTACTAATATTAATTAAACAGTATTTTATCCCTAATGCAGCAAATCCTGAAATCTTTAGCAGAATCCATGGGATATAAGAACGAGATACTTGGTAGTGAGTTAACAGAGCCCAAAATAGTATGTACGAGTCTGACAGCCAGTCTTCAGGCTAAGCATTAGACAATGTGTTAAAGTGTGTAGACATTAGCTGAAATCAGATTGTAAGGAAGTGTTCCAAAGGTTCTGGTTTTGGGTCTTGGCTGGATCTCATTCTTCTTTTCATAGCCTGGCCAAAAAACCCAGCTGCACACGTACATATACATATACCAAATCGTCTTATCATATGTTTCAGCAGTAAAAGTTAGTTACTGTTATTTTATCATAGTGTGTTCATCTCCTCAAAAAACTACACAGGCCACAGCTCTCATCAGTAAGAGATCTAGTATTAACAAAGGCAAACTACTTGTTAATGCATTCATTCCCTCTTCATTCATTATTGGGTCATATTCAGAAATTAAATATCTAACCATTCTGAAGGTAAAAGGATAAAGTCAAAGAACCAAAAAAAAAAAAAAGAAAAAGAAAAAGAAAAATATCTACACTGGGAAGCCTGAAAAGCTGTAATTCACAAAAGAGTAGAATGTTAAGTTTTTCAGACAACTTGTCATGTCTAGAATGTTTCG